CAGTTTGAGCCTCTGTTAGAGATACTGGCATATGCAGAAAGCTGTAGGAAGTTTCTAAACAAAGTAACTAGATACACTGCATATTAACGCATCGAAGTAATAATTCTTAGAATTACTACCAAAATGTGATAGGTTTTTTTCAGCTTTCTTCATTTTCATCTTTAAATGAGACAAACACACCTCCAGAAAACACTTTTTTCTTCAGATGAAGAAAGATCGTATCCAAAGTTAATACTATACACTTTGGCTCTTAATTGTTTTTCTTGATTGTTCAGTAATTATTTTCCCCAGAACTTAATTTTTTCCCCAGATCTTTGATTTCAAACCCAAAACTGTGTTTTCATTGAAAGTCCTGCACTTGATGCAGCTTTTCCACAGTAACGGTCTCCACTTCCCCACCGTCCTCTCCACTTCCAGTCATGTTCGTTTTGTCAACCGCTTTAACTATACTCAAACTGTGCGGGCCAAAGCACCACGGCTTTCCTAATTATCTGACTTGGCAGCAGCAGCCTCCTCTTCTTCTTCTCAGTTTCCAGCTCTGGTGAAGCATATGAAGTAATTCCTTTTTGTAATTTATTCCTAGTTCCCTGCTCTGCAGTCCTTGTTCTCCTTCTACTCTGGTGATCTTTCTCTTTTGCTGATTGCTTTTCCTTCCCATGCATCTTAAATCATGGTCCTGAGAGTTCCAGCCCTTGCTCCATGCACTTCTAGGCAGTCTCAAACATGGCGTTAGCCATAATCCTTACGGATATGAGGTTCTAATCTCAAGCCCTCTTTCCTAGTCTCAACAAGCACATTCAGTTGCTTCCTAGGTTATTAAATATCTGTGTTTGTTGTCCATGTTCAGACCTGAAAATGATTCTGGTTTGATCTTAATGAGAGGAAATTTTAAAAATAAATAAAAAATAAAATAAAAATTTTAAAAAAGAGGAAATAAATTACATATGAAAGGTAAATAATCCCTAAATCACTAAGATTTCATCAATTCTAGGTAGGCAGAGACTAAGTCATGTGTTTCTTTAATAATCAAGAGTTTTGAATTTCACACTTTTTTAAAGAGTGTGGTAGTTTTAAGATAGTTTAGATTTACGTGCCTCACCGGGCATGGTGGTACCTGCTTGTAAGATCATCACAAGTTCAAGACCAGCCTGGGCTACAAAGTGAGCTCAAGGCCAACCTGAACTGCATAGCAAGACCTTATCTCAAAAAGACAAATTAACTAATTAAATTAAAGAAATCTATGTTCCTCCAATGCCTACACTTTACTTTTTAGCAGACATTAACATAAAGTTGCGTGGCTGCAGTAGTAGTCTCAGTGCGTCTCAGTCCCTTTGCCCGAGACAAGATAAAATCAGGAAATTTAAAGCAGCAGGCAACATCAGGGGTCAAAGCTGTGAAAGGATAGCCTAGAATGACAACAGAAAATGTGCAGTGTGCCAAAGGTTGACCTGTGATCAGTAAGTTCACATTGTATTTCCTCTCAGCACCGTGGGATTGCTGATAATGCAGGCTAGAAATAATGTGAAACTATACCTGAGCTTCATACTGATAGTATAGATACACAATTAATTTTGATAATAGATGTTTGTTTTGACTCCTGTTTAAAAGGCCAGAGGTAGTATTGAAAAATAATGGTTCTTCTTAGGCAGCTTTAAATATGGAGTGGAGGGATGTGGAACTAATTATAAAATAAGATTGTAGGTTAAGTTGCTTTAAACTTTTTAAAAACCACTTTAAAAATCTCATGAAGTCTACCCACAGATATCTGGAAAATGCACATTTTATGCAAATTTACATAAAATTTCAGGAATTCACAGAACTGAAGATCCTGCTCTAAGTCAATTTCATTATCTTTGTTTTTTTTGTTTGGTTGGGTTTTTTTGGTCTTTTTGAGACAGGATCCTCGCTGTGTAGTTCAGGCTGGCCTTCAGTTTACTTTGTAGCCCAGGCTGGTCTCAAACTTGAAACAATCCTCCTACCCCAGCCTCCTGAGTGCTGGGATTACAGGCATGTGCCACCACATCCAACCTAGGGGCTCATGAGCTCACTATATAGCGCAGGCTGGCCTTGAACTCCCAACAATCCTCTTGCCTCAGCCTCCTGAGTGCTGGGATTACAGGGGTGCACCACCACGCCCGGCCTTCTTTGAAATAATTGTATAACACTTAGAATTCCAATTTTTTTCCATATGGTCACTGGTTCATACCCAGTAGAGGGAAATGGAGACTAACAAGCTTTGATGCTTAGAAAGTGCATGCATCTGTGTATTACTTCTAGTCATAACTGAGATATGGCTGTAGTTCTCACAGCTATCGATGTTGCTGTAGTGTTATTTTGGGTGCCTTTTGTTGATTTCTTAACTTTAGATATACAGAATAAAGTTTCGATCTTAGTAGGAATTTAGCAGAGAAATCAGTGGTTCTCAGTCTGTTGTCATGCTATCTTCTTAAAGATTATGTATTCTTGGGCAAAGGGTATAGCTCAGTGTTTAGAGTACGTGCTTTGCACGTACAAGGCTTGAGTTCAATCCCCAGCACTGCAGAGGAAAAAAAAGTTTTAAATATTTCTTCAGACCCTCAAATTTATTTTTTCTCTAATTTTATTCCAGAAATTTAAGTGTTGTTGTGTAACTTAGTGTTAAAGAAAAGTAGTAATATATCAGGTGTATTTTATCAATTTTAGTTAGCTTCCGTGGATTTCCAGATGGCAGATAGCATGTTAAGAAGATAGGAGTTAGTTTAAGAGATGTATGTCAACATGGTTACAAAGTGCACACTAAATAGATACACCTTGAGCATTATAATGTTCCAGTTACCTGCTTATAGATTAAACTTCTTGTGAACCTCTTTTGAAAAATAAAGTCACAGTGTAAAGCTGTGGCATTCAAACTATTTGTTCATTTTCTCCTTCGTTTACAAAACTGCAAAATGTCTAATAGAAAGTTTGTGAGGAAAATGAATATGCATGCTACCATATTTTTCTTTCTAAGAGACTGATTTTGAAGTCAGACATACAATAACATGTGCACATCCACAAAATGTGGTCATCACTATTTCAGGCTGTGGAAGAAGCAGAGTAGAAAATCATACTGCCCCGCCCCCCCATCCCGTACTGGGGATTGAATCAAGGGCCTTCACACTGAGCTATATCCTTAGTCCTTCTTTTTTTATTCTAAAGCAGTCTTGCGTAGTTGCAAAGTTGCCCAGGCTGAGCTCACACTTGCAATTCTCCTGCTTCAGCCTCCCAGAGTGCTAGAATTACTGGCGTGCACTACCACATGTGCCTGAAAGCCATAGGACTCTAAATAATATGAACAAATAAAATTAAACATCATGTATTTCATGGCGCACACAGATGCACTTAATTTGTATAGTCCTGTATACAGTACATGGTTTCTAGGATTATAAAGTAAAAGTTCAAAACCATGAGTATCAATTAACATCATACATAACACCATTAATGTTACACTGAATAAAATATCTTTCTGTATAATTGTATTCTGGAGCAAAATACTCAAAACATAAAGGAGGAGAGGTTTGATTTGCCTTGTGATTCCAGGGCTTTCAGTCGAGTGCTGGCTGGCTCCAAGACACACAAACACGATCTTGGCGGAAGGGCGCAGTAGGGCAAAACTGCTCACTTTCTGATGGCTGTGAACAGTAGGGGGACTGGCAGAGAGGACCAGAGCCAGACAGGACACGCCCAGACATGTCCAAAAGTGGGCGTTACTAACTTCCCAGATCTGTGTGTGTGTCTTTGCTTAGTAGATTTTTTTTTTTTTTTTTTTTTGTCTTTTTGAGACAGGGTCTTGGTATTCAGTTCAGGCCAGCCTTGAGCTCACTTTGTAGCCCAGGCTGGTCTCAAACTCTTGACAATCCTCCTACCTCAGCCTCCCAAATGCTGGGATTACAGGTGTGAGCCGCTACTCCTGGCTTAGTAGAAATGTTACAGGAATACTGCGCATTAAACTGCAGCCAGATTACCTACTTAAGTACTATATCAGTCTCTAGTAACATTAAAAATGGATCATTGTAATTATGAATACCAAGTTTAACTGACTTTTAATAACTTAGGTAGTACTAATAAAAAGCCCTGACCTCCTTAAAAAAAAAAATCAAATTTCAAATCATTTGCCAGTTTGAAGCAAAGAAAATCTTGTATATGGGGGGCAGTTAGCCTATCGGGGGCTTCCCCAGATGTGTCAGAGGAGTCTTAGAGACCAGCTGGAGCAGAGTACGCTGCTGTAGAGTACAGTACGCATTGGCACATCCGTCACTAGTGAGAACTTCTCAGGAGACACTGCCAGCACACCTTGGGATGGTCTGAATTTGAGTCCGGTTTATGTCTTCCTCAAGAAATACAGAAGTTGCTTTCTGTATTTTAGGAAGCAAATTGGTACTGTAATTGGCACAAGTGATTGTGTAGAATGAATCTAAATTGGTACTGTAATTGGCACAAGTGATTGTGTAGAATAAATCTAGGGAAGACTAGGTAACGTGTGTCTTCTGGGAACAAAGCTCTTTGAAATCAAGTAGACCTGAGTATAGTAGGAGCAATGAAAAGAAAGAAAATCTTTGTCATCAAACGTGGTCGTTGCTTATTAGCTACATAGGACTTCCATATACTCAGTAGGAATCCATCCTAAGAGGAGGCAAGGAGCCCACAGGAATGGGAAAGAAGGAAAGCTGTGAGACAGATACTGTCCTCAAATGCTTCTGTAGATCTCCTACATGGTATTAATTTTCTTACAGTAGCTATCTGATAGAGTGTGAGCTCTTTTTCATTATTGAAGGTATTAATTCGTTCATTTGTATCTAAAGGTAATATACCTGTTTACTTGTGAAATAAAACATCAGTGGCTTAACTCCTTAATAATTATATAGAGTCTATCTGCATTTAAGGCCAGTATAATATTTGTAATTTGACCAGTTAAGTGAAGCCAGCAGTAAAGTATCGTAACCACTAGCCTTATTGACTCCTGTTACTTTTGTTTGTCTTAGGGTTTTGACCCACCCCATCAAAGTGACACAAGAACTATTTACATAGCCAACAGGTTTCCTCAGAATGGCCTTTACACACCTCAGAAATTTATAGATAACCGGATAATTTCATCTAAGGTAAGGATTAACACTTTTATTATTAAGACTGTAGATATGTATCATTTTATTTTGAAAAGTAATTTAGTGTGTGTTTATGTATATATATCCGCACAAAGCCAAGAAAATGGTGTGGTTGATAGATTATCTTAACTAAAATGAAAAGTGATGTAATTATAGCACCTGGGAGACTGAGGCAGGAGGATCACAAGTTCAAGCCCTACTTCAGTAACTTAGTGTCTTAGTGAGATCCAGTCTCCAAAAACACTGTTTGAAAGCCCTGGGCTAAAAAAAAAGAAAGAAAAAATAGAAGAAAGAATAAAAGGAGTTAGGAGTCACTATTACTAGATAGACATCTTGCCAAAAACTTATCTTTAGTTACCATTAAACTCCTTTTTTTAAAAAACTCCTAATATTTATACTACGTACTGAGTACTATACAGTAGTCATTACTTCTCTGTCATCCAATCCTTATAACAACCCGTGAGACAGCGGTTATTAAATCTATTTTATGAAGCGTTATTATACTCATGTCACTTTCTTCAATTTAAGTGTAAAGAAAGGGAATAATTTTTCCAAGGTTGCACCGTGGTAAGTGGCTCGATTGGAGTTTGAACTCAGTTCCGTGAGACTTTAAAGCCTGATTGCTCCAATTTTATCACTCTTCTGTAAATGTTCTGTAGTAGCAGAGTACTACTTCACTTTTCTTCTTCCTTGTTTCAGTTTTCCTATGACATTTTTAAGATGTCTCAGTTTATTTCAAAGCTGAAGATTATCGAGCGATGTTATCTAATAGACTTTTCTCTCCTGGTAGAAACCTTGTCCATGTTCTCCAGCATGATAACTGTCAGGTGCAGAGCGCTGTTGAGGCCCCGAAATGGGCTTGTACAACTGAGGAGCTGCGTGTTACTAGTGGCTGCCTTATTGAACAGTGCTGTTGTAAAGAATTTAAGCCAAAGACACTATGGGTAAATTCCTCCTTGGATCATAGCTGTTGCTTGATAGGGAATCTTAAGATGCATCTTTGTATTGCTCCTTCACTCCTTTGCAGAGAGATGAGGATTTTTTCTCTAATGCTGATTTCATCTTTGCCCATATCTTAGCTTTGTTCCCTGGTTGCTTTCTCCTGCCCCTTTTATCCTGGCTTCATATTATTTGCATATTAGCATACCCACTAATGACAGCAGGTTACACATGTTAACATATAGCCATTATTTTGGAAAAATGCTTCTAAAGAAGAGAGTAGAAAGAATATCAGAATCTAGGATGATAGAGGTACCCTAGACTCTTAAGTGACTCAGTTCTTAGTAAAATCATGTTAAAACTTAAAATCCTTCAAAATTTGAAGGTCATTCCTAAGCTGGGGTGTAATTTACACAGAAGAAAACTCACTAGTCTTAAGTGTTAACTCTTTGGATTGTTTATATGCTGAATTTGGCTCTTTTTCTTCATGCTGTTCTCTCCCTACATACTTATATTTTCCCCTTACGTCTCCAGTTGCTTACTGTCCCTGAACTCTCATCTCTTGCATTTTATCAGTAAGGCTGTTAATCTTCCGCAGGTCCCTCACTGGTTTGCTGCCGTATCTGGGGAAATTAGATAGCATCTCTACACTGAGAAGCCAAAAACTTACAATTCTTATAGCATCTCTACACTGAGAAGCCAAAAATTTACAATTCTTATGTTTGCATTTGCAGTTTCTTTCTGTTTTTCCTTTCAAAAGCTCTTTTACGGGGCTGGGGATTTAGCTCAGCGGCAAAAGCGCCTGCCTGGCAAGCGCAAGGTCATGAGTTCGGTTCCTGGTACCGGAGAAAAACAAAAACAAAACAAAACAAAAAAAAACCAAAAGCTCTTTTACTTTTACCTATATTTTGGACATTAATTTTCCAGGTTTTTAAGTAGGAAACTCAGCTTCCAGTCCTGGTAAAAGAGTTAAATGGGTCCCCTGAGCTCCCAGCAGAATAAAATGACAAAAAGTAGTACTGGAAGCTGAGTTTCCTCCTGAGAAACTTTGTGTTAAATAAATATTTTTATATGGCTGTGTTAATCTCTTCTCGGCCTTTTGGCTAAGATCAAGTGTAGTATACTGCTGTGTTAATGTGTAGCAGTATTAAATTTAATATTTTTGACCACGGTTTCAAAAATGTAGATGTTTCTCAAAACATTACCTTTAAATTTTTTGGCATAACTAAGGGCTCTTCCATTACTACCTTCTGTATTATACCACTACTGCTTTTTTTAACCCACTTCCAAGCTTGATTATTTGTTCTTTCACAAGTTCATGTTAAACTTTCCTACCATTTTTGCTTTGCTAGGTTTCATATTGGAAGCCAATTTTTGTTTTGTTTTGTTTTGTTGTTGTTTTTTGTCTTTTTTTGAGACAGGGTCACTATGCAGTTCAGGCTGGCCTTGAGCTCACTTTGTAGCCTAGGCTGGTCTCAAAGTCACAGCGATGCTCCTGCCTCACAGCCTCTGGAGTGCTGGGATTACAGGTGTGCACCACCACGCCCAGATTGGAAGTCAATTGTTGAAAAGTAAAATTTTGTGGAGATTTTATTTTTTTTTTATTTGTTTAATTTTGGTTTTTTTGAGACAAGATCAGTCTGGCTTTAAACTCTGTAGCCTAGGCTGACCTCATATTCATGGCAATCCTCCTGCCTCAGCTTCCCAATTGCTGGGATTGCAGGTGTGTGCCACCACGCCCAGCAGTTTTGTGTAGATTTTAGATTTGTTTTTGTAGAAAGGTAGGATTCACACGTTCAAACATAATTTGAAGAATGTAGCTATTTAGATAGATACTTAATTTTTTCCTAAGCATATATGAAGACCATCTCTCTTATTATTTTTACCATTTGTTTACTCCTACATTCCCTTAAACTCTTTGCTGACTATGCTACCTTCTGTCCCATGAAGCCACAATGAACTCATTCCAGTGTTCCCTTTGCTCGTGTTATCCTATCTTCTAGAAATGGTCTCCCTTATTTCTTTGATTTCCGGCCTGTTGAATGTTCCTCTTTTAAATATGGTTTCCTCATTAAATTTTTCTGTCTTGCTACTTTTCCTTTGAATTATTCTATATTCCTTCATTTACTTTATCTTTGAATATAGTTGTTGAAAATTTTTCCTTAGTCTCTTTTTAATAATTTTTTTTCTCCAGTGTATAATTAATATATCATAGATGTATTGATCACAGTAACTACCTTAAATTTAAACTTTGCAAAATGGTTTTTGCAAAGGTTTTTTTGGCCATATATTAGTTTGCTTACCATTGTAAGGCTTGAGGGGAAAAAAGGGCAATTAAAAAGTCATATATAACAGTAAGATATTATGCTAACTTGTTTATCTTTTTTTTTTGAGACAGGGTCTCCCTGTGCAGTTCAGGCTGGCCTTGAGCTCTTTTTGTAGCCCAGGCTGGTCTCAAACTTGCAACAATCCCCCTGCCTCAGCCTTCTGAGTCCTTGGATTACAGGCGTGCACCACCATGCCCGGCTAACTAATTTATCTTAACCACTATTAAATTGTTTAATATTATACTAATCAGAGGCCTTTCTCCCTGTGTAGTAGGGTAAGCACAGAAGTTAGACTCATTCAATCTGTTAAAATGTTCATATTTCAGAAAACATGGAAATAACAGTTCCTGCTATTTATAAGATAGTTTGCAAATGAATTTTTTATGGGAGGGGGCACTGGGGATCAAACCCAGGGCCCTGTGCCTGAAAGGCAAGAGCTCTACTACTGAGGCACATCCCCAGCTCTGAAATTTTTATTTATCCTACAGTTTTACTTGTAATTACTAAGCTAGCCAGAGAAAATGCCCTGAAAATAATTACCTTACTGCCGGTTTATGGAATTGTCCTTCGTAAGATTCTAGAAGACTTATGATTGAGGTAGGTTGGCATTAAGTTAAGACATTGACAATTTATTTATTTTTTTTTTTTATTTTAAAGAGTAAAAGAAGGACAACAAAGCAGTAGGGGTATACACGGAATTACAGACAAAGTGGTAGGACATTATCAATTGTTGTTATTTTACCTATTGGTATCTTCAAGATAGTTTCTCAGGAAAACAAATAGACAAATAATAGTGAGTTACAGACA